ACAAGAAAAGTTACATTTGCTGTTCAGGCATTTGAAAGTTAAGTGTTACTTAAAATTTTTGAACAAAGCATTTTAAGTTGTTAGTTCTCCTTTACTGGGGCAGGTAGCAGAGCAGTACCATGAGAGGAGTAGAACAGGAAGAAGGCAGAATTGAGACCTTTCAAAGTTTTGGCCCAAGTGAGGGGGCATGGGGGCGTCATTTGAGCTCTCCGCCTCAGGTGCCAAAATGTTGTGGGCCAGCCCTGCCTGTCCTGAGAAAGATGACAGGCCTGAAACCTGTTTGGGGTGCACTCAAGGAAGCCACAAAGGGGTCAGAGGTGCAGTTATCCTGGGAACCATGATACTAACATCAGTCTCTCTCCTGTTATCCCTTCATATACAAGTTAGAATTAATACTGTCTCTAGGCACAATTATATTATTAGTCAGGAAGTTCTATCTATATTATTAACCCTCCAAAATGTACACTTACTGGAATTTCCTGATACAACTTATATTGCACCTCGGGTGACCAGATGTCCTGATTTTATAGGGACAGTCCTGATTTTGGGGTCTTTTTCTTATATAGGCTCCTATTACTCCCCACCCCCGTCCCGATTTTTCACACTTGCTGTCTGGTCACCCTAATTGGGCCAGAAGATAAGTAGGTGGTGGACAGGCATAGATGGTCAGAGGTACACTTATTTATGGAATCTTGGTTTTTAGTTTCCTGACTTTCAAACACTTGTTTGTAACCTTACATCTGGATTTCAAAGATTTGTCTTCTTTTATAACAATAACATTTTGATGTTTTAATTTAACTGTTATCTATTGACAGTCGTAACTGGTTCTTAAAATTTTCTGTCTCTAATATACAGCATTGGTAAAGTGATTTGGTATCTCTGAGGATGAAAGTACTATAAAAATGTTAGATAATAAACACCTTTAATCCATTTATACTTTGATTTTGAGGATAAACTTCTGCTGTGGTGTCCTTGAGATCTGTCCTTTCTCTTGCGCCCTATCAAAACAACGTAAACATAACACTTGTAAATAGATAGTTCCTTCCTTTGAGCTACTGGGCTATTTTTACTTTAATCCAAAACATGAAGATTCTTGTTCTCTCTGCTAGTTCAGGGAAGAGATTGCAATTCACTAGGGAAAGGAAACAATATTAACATGATCAACAGAACTCCATCTGACCTTATTAAGTTGCAAAACCTCCTCTGAAAGGCCTACACCAGCAAAAAGAGGGAGAAAGAGAGGAGAAGGAGGTAATAATCAATTAAAGTAGGGGAGAAATTAAAGTAGGCAGGGAACTGACTGAAGTAGACATTAATATGTTGACTGAAATCAGTCCATCAGGGACGATTCTAACAAGGGTGTTAATGAATAAAAGTTCTGGGGGGAAAATAGGAGATAAGTTGAGCAGTGACATGAAGAATCTGCTCTGGGGGATAAGGGAACTCAAGCGATAGATGAACAATACAACTCTGATTTATGAGCCATGAAAACACCCAAGACTGACCCCAGCATCCAACCCATCTCTGCTCAAGAACTCACTGCTGCTGCTTCTCCCCCAGCTGTGTTTCAAAGAAATACAAGATTCAGACCACTTGATGACTGACATTGAGGTTCATGGCAATGGAGAGTGTGACAAAAATATGTGACAAAACCTGTGCCAGCCAGTCCCTGGCAACTTTATATTATAGATTCCTACACAGCATTGGGCACCAGCTCTGGTCTGAGGTAGACTTAGAATATGACTACACTAGAGCTAGAAAGTGTAAATTACAGCGTGAGGAGATATGCCTCCACTAGCTTTAATCAAATTAGCATGGGTATGTCTCCTCAAGCTGGAATTTACTCCTTCTTTACTCCAGTGTAGACATAAATGAAATGGTTCTGGTACTCATATAATCCAGGATGGAATAAAAATACCTAGGGCTTTGAATCAGTCCCCAAACTGGTCTAAGTTTTGCATTTTAAATGCATAAGTTCCTAGAACCATAGCTTCACATCTTTGACAAACTTTAACTCTGCACACTTCCAAGATGGGTAAATTGAGTCCCCTGCAGTTTGCTGTGGTGGTGGTGGGGAATGTCTTTCAAATGAAACAGTGAAAAACAAGTTCTTGTGAAGATATTAAAGAGCCTAAGAGAAGCAGTCTAGTTCGGTGTCTTTGTCCAAAAGCTTCTATCCCCCCTGTAGTGTGCCCTGGTACATGGCAGCTGCTCTGAAGCCCCAGAGATGGCTGCATTTCTTTGGTGATGTATATGTAGTACATTGCTTGTGAAAAACTTTAAGGTCTTTTAGGATAAAAGGTGCTATAGAAAATAAGAATACTTAATTTTACCAATTATTCTAAAGCACTGGCCTGGGACTCTGGAAGTCTGAGTACAGTTCCTAGCTCCGATACAGACTTCATATGTGACCTTGGGAATGTCTCTTCTCTCCTTGTACCTCAATTTCTCATCTGAAAAATGGAAATAATATTTCCATATCTGACAAATTTGTTGTAAAAATAAATCCATTAACGTTTGTAAGGTGCTTAGGTTTACAAAGATGGAGGGCACATACACAGATAGCTGCTCTCTTTACAAATTCATACCCATGGCTGCTTACTTAAGTGGAAAAAAACAGGCTTTTATTGTTTTTTACTCCTGTTAGCAATGCTGAACCAACACGGCTAAGAGGAGTGAGCGGAGTCTATTCTTTTTTGTACATCACCACCATAAAAGTTTATTCTGTGGAACCCCACTCGAGGAAATGGGGTTACAAAGGCATCACTGGCCTTGCCTACACTAGGAACAAAGGTGGGTTTCAACATATGTTAGTGAACTCCTGTAAGAATCTTAGTGTGGATGGTATTTCTATTTTAACACTTGATATCTGGTAGGATTTAACCCTAGGGATCCGAGGGTTTACCGCAAGCAGTTAACATGTGAAAATGATAACTTGCTTTGTCTACGTTAGGATTTTAACATGCTAGGGTACACTGCAGTCATGGGGTGTGATTGCAGCTTGTGTAGAAATTAAAGCTAGTTTGGGAACCAGAGCAGTGAAGCTGGGGCAGCGCACGCTTCAGAACAGGCTGTACAAGCCCACCCAGCACCCTGGATAATTCCTCACACGTGCTACCACAGCTTCACTGCTGACGGAGGTGGATTAAAGCTAGTTTGGGTATGTCTGCACAAGTTGGAATCGCACCCCATAACTGCAGTGTAGACATATCCTTAATCAGCATATGTTAGCTAACACATGCTACACAAGTTTCAGAGGAACAGCCGTGTTAGTCTGTATTTGCAAAAAGAAAAGGAGTACTTGTGGCACCTTAGAGACTAACCAATTTATTTGAGCATGAGCTTTCGTGAGCTACAGCTCACGAAAGCTCATGCTCAAATAAATTGGTTAGTCTCTAAGGTGCCACAAGTACTCCTTTTCTTTCTACATGCTACACAAGACACCTTTTTCCCCTAGGCCAATGGGTCTAATCTGGGCTGATAAATCTTTATGACTGGCAATAATGCACATGAATGAAAGAACTTGGTTTTCAGAAGAGGCATTTAGGGGAAAACCCCATCATTTTACTTATAAACTAAGCACATTTGATTTGGAAGCCATTGAGAAACAGTGAACATGGAACCCTCAATGCCATTTTAGTCACTTTTCAGAGTAGAACCACATTTTTAAGCCCCATCACTCCTAACTTTCTTCTAAACACTCCTCTTGGCTTGAAATTTCTCATGGTAAGTCTTAGACAAGAGAACAACTTGCAAGGGAATGTTTTTTAATGGGCGATGGAGATGGACAAGCCATTTTTAAGCTTTTAAAACTTTTTTGCCACCCAGTAACTTGAACACAGCTGCGTTTGCAGCTTTATATTTATAGATACACTTAGTAGGAATGGGTGAACCTTTGGGAGAGGCGAATATGCAGACCTGTCAAACAAATGGGTTCACTAAACTAGTATGAGTTTACAAACCTTTCTTTCTTGTAATTTAAATCCATTTTTAAGGAAGAACATGTTTTTCTAGCTAAAGAGAAGCCAGTGATGTGAACATGAAATAAAAGAATTCTCCCTAAAGCTAGGCTGGCACAAGTGAATGTTCTCGGGTCACATTCTCAGCTGGCGTAAATCAGCATAGTTTCATTGACTTCAGTCGAGATGCACCTGTTCATATCAGCTGTGGCTCTGGGCCCTTGTTTCCATACTGGGCAAAAAGATTCTCTTAACTTCACTGATACAGCCCCATGAACGTCAATGGAAAAACATGACTTTAACTCAGAGTCCAATTTGTCTCACTGTCACTGGATTTATTTTTCTATTGTTTTTGTCCTCCCTTCCCATCTGTGCTTATAGATCACTTTATTTTTTCATTGGATTTTTCTTTTTTTTCCCCTCCACCAACACTTTTTTTAAAAAAAGTATACTCACTTCTAAACCGAACCTGAACCCATCAGTGTTTGAGTTCAAGGTGAACTCTCAAACCGATGATGTTTTGAGTGGGGCTGAAATGAGGCCAAACCACTTTGCCTAGCCCTTGTGCTTAGCTGTCAAAAAGCACTCCATCTTTGACAGGTTAGAAACAACCATGTTCAAATGACTTTTTGAAATGCAGAAATTGATTTATAGAAGAGAGAGCTGATCATCAGGCTGCTCCTCAGCCCCCCCTTGACCAGCCAGGGAGTAGTTCCATAATCTGCCCTTCCCTAAAAACACACACAATTCTGCTGGCATTGGAGCAAAACTGGTCATTAACCAAAACAGGAATAAATCTTCCCCCATGATATAAAATGCACAATTATTGACCAGCATTATGGGATCTATGCCTCACTCTGATGCATTTAGCAATGGACATTGTCAGAGTCAGGATTATCAGGCTAGATAGACCATTGATCTATTGTGCTAATTTCCTTCATACTACCTCATCCCTGGCAATTCACTCAAGTAGGAAACAGATTCAGCAATCATCGTAAACCAAATGTTTACAAAGAGCAAAATGTTTCTATCAACACATACCTCCTTCTCACAGCATTGCCCCTCCTCCTTCCCCTCTTCTGCCCCGGTCACTTGCACTCACTGCTAGGACTTGTGCCGTTAGGGACTAACCGGATGTGTAATAGAGAAGGAGTTAGGATGAATGGTAGCTTTGCTGTCACCATCATTCAGTCATCTGGAAATCTAATTTATATCTTGTTTGGCAGACTAGCAGCCATCTGCTCCAAGGATATGCTCTAAGGCAGCTGCCAAATATTGAGCAGGCTATCTGCTGTAGGGAAACTAATTGCTTTTATTGGATTGACATAGGCTGGGGAGCTGATGGTATAGGTTATTCCTCCACTAAAAAGATAAAATAAAAGTTACAACTACTCTGACTTCTATCAGTGATGAGAGAGAAAACACATTTCAGGCTACTGGTGGCCACATGGGCCATCTTGGCCAGAGCTGCAGAGGAACCGGCTGTCAGCCCATTGAAGTGGGTCAGGAGTGTTTCAGTGCTACGTGCAGTAGGGAATGTTTGAAATGATGCAAACTGTAACACCCGGATTTATTACACAAGTTTAATTTATTGTACACAACACCGAGGGAGCTGGGCCTGGAGCCCAGGGAACGCAATCACATCGTACCCATCCTGATATGCTCCCTTCCGCCTCCTTCTGGAAAGTCCTATCACAGCAAAAACAGTCCTACATCTTAAAGTTTCCTATTGGGTTAAAGGGAGAAACTCATATAGGTAATCCCACTACCAATCTCCCCCATACATCCCCACTTCTCATATATACTTCCATCAGCCTTCCTCTCAGTGCTCTCTCCAAATACACTGTCACCCTCTACTCCCTGCATCTGGGGGTCATCCAAAAATATAAGCAACTAACAAGCAACATTTAGGGAAAGCCTGTAACTATTATTGTCCATTTATCCACAGTTTTGACATAGACCCAGTGCACTTTTCAACCTGGAATAAGCAGGGGGATTACAAATCACAACTGAAGAGCCAGGCTTCCTTGTACGCAAAAGAACATGCTGGCTGGGCCTATTTTTAATGATAAATGGATAAACAGCTTCTAAGACAACTTAATTCTGCAGCCAATTAGGAACCTGGAGCAGGATTTTCAGTTATGCAAGTACCTGTTTGTCAGGGGCAGCCAGTCCAGTTTAGCAAGGTTACCGGATACATGATGGTCTTAGCTGCAATTTAAAAATAGAAAGAAAAAATGTCATAGATGGTAGTAGAAATAAAACCACATGCTCTTAGCATTAGCTAACTTTGTGGAGAAGAAGGTTGGTACAGTGGTTAAAGCACAGGCCTAGGAATGAGGACTCCTGTATTTTATTCCCAGCTTGGCATAGACTTCTCTAACTTTGAATGAGTCAAACAGGCCATAATTTTCAGAATTGTGCTCTGGGGAAAACTTGCAGTTTATGCAACTAAAAAGGTCTTTTCAGCTTCTCTGTACACTTATGGCATTTTTAAAAAAAGGTTTGTACGTGGCCATAAAATGTCTCAGCATTCACTAGCATGAGGCAACAAAGGAATGGGAAGGGGATGTGATGAAGTCATGGCCACACATCTCAGATTTTCAAAAGTCCGAACATAGGTTCCACCTGTCCAGACATCTACTGCTCCTGTAATTGTAACTCAGCCACCAGGAACGAGTTAATATGTTCACCTCACACAGACACCCAAAGCTCACAAAGATCCAGCAGATTGAGCTGTTTAAATTTCTCATTGTAAGCCATTTTCTCCAGCCCTCACATTATTTTTGTGCCCCTTTTCTGTACCCTCTCCAATTTTCCAACATAAGAAGATAAGAAGGGCCATACTGGGTCAGACCAATGGTTCATCTAGACCAGTATCCTGTCTTCTGACAGTGGCCAATGCCCGGTGCTTCAGAGGGAATGAACAGAACAGGTAATCATCAAGTGATCTATCCCCTGTCTCCCATTCCCAGCTTCTAACAGTCAGAGGCTTAGGGATACCCAGAGCATGGGGTTGTGTCCCTGACCATCTTGACTAATAGCCGTTCATGGACCTATCCTTCATGAACTTATCTAATTCTTTTTTGAACCCACTTATACTTCTGGCCTTTGCAACGTCTCATTGCAATGAATTCCACAGGTTGACTGTGCATTGTGTGAAAAAGTACTTTCTTTTGTTTGTTTTAAATCTGCTGCCTATTAATTTCATTGGGGGTATCCCTGGTTCTTGTGTTATGTGAAGAGGTAAATAACATTTCCTTATTCACTTTCTCCACATCAGTCATGATTTTATAGAGCACTATCATATCCCCCTAGTTGTCTCTTTTCCAAGCTGAAGAGTCCCAGTCTGCTTAATCTCTCCTCATATGGAAGCTGTTCCATACCCTTCACCATTTTTGTTGCCCTTTTCTGTACTTTTTCCAAGTCTAATATATCTTCTTTCTGAGATGGGGCAACCAGAACTGCATGCAGTATTCCAGGTGTGGCTGTACCAGGGATTCATATATTGGCATTATGATATTTTCTCTTATTATATATCCCTTTCCTAATGGGTCTTAGTATTGTTAGCTTTTTTCGACTGCTGATGCACATAGAGCAGATGTTTTCAGAGAACTATCTACAATGACTCCAAGATCTCTTTCTTGAGTGGTAACAGCTAATTTAGACCCCATTATTTTGTATATATAATTGGGATTATGTTTTACAATGTGCATTACTTTGCATTTATCAATGTGGAATGTCATCTGCCATTTCTTTGCCCAGTCATCCAGTTTTGTGGGATTCCTTTGTAATGCTTTGCAGATTGCTTTGGACTTAACTGGCTTAAGAAACCTTTCAATTACATAAGAAAAAATAAATATATAGCATCCAACCTAAGACAGAAATGGTGATATTAAAAGTACTGAAAAATATTGCTTCCATCACGGGAGGATAGGTGAGAACTAGTATCAGAGTCCCCTCTAATGTACTCTTTGCCTTATGTGCTACCTTATGTGTAGCTCTAACCAACCACAATCCTGGATTCTGAGGTGCTGGGGCCAGGATGTGGCAACAAGGGATGGTCAACAGAGGAGGAAGGCAGAGAAGGTGGCCTAGGTCAGAGGACTGGGAACCACTGAAGATGGAAAGAGGATTGGTGAAGGAGAATGGGTGAAAGTGACCTAGGCCTGCCGTGTGATCTACAGGAGTAAGTCATATAATCCCACATACCTGCCAAGTCTTGCTCATATGGAGCTGCAGTCACACAGTTGTCCCTGCTGTCATTATCTGTTATCCCAGCTGAAATTCCACTCATTAGCAGAGCTGCAGGTGGTGAGCAAGGTTTCTCCTTCAGTTCCTCTTCCCAACTACTAGAGGCCACTCTGGGAGCTTCTGGGGAGGCAACCGAGACTTCCTCCCCTCTCTTCCCTTTTTTACTGACTCCCTTGTACATAGAGGGCCATAACCACAGATTGCAGGTTAGAACTTCCACTGGAGACCACTCTGATGCCTGGCTGGTCCAAGAATCCAGGTGGTAGAAAGACGGTATAAACCTACGATGGCTGACACCACCATGCACAAATGCAAGTAGCATTAAGGGAAGGTGCACTGCCACACTGTGATGTGCCTCAGATACTCCCAACTATGGCAGGAGATGCATTATTGTTAGCTTCATATGAAAGCCAAAGACTCCGTGCAATACAAACCATACCTGCCTGGGCCCACTTCCTTTTTGTTTTATGCTGATGGAAAGTGATAGTTTGATAGTCCTGTATTTACCCATGGTAGGACACAGATACCTGTAGTACAAGCTACCTCTACTCTGCTTTGTCAGTGTGACTCAAGCCTTGCTGGGATGAGAAAGTTGTTCACTCTTCACAGTCCAGTCAGTCCTTGACCTGTCTTCTAAAAGAATGCATTAAATCGACCATCACTGATATTCGTTATATGGACATCTGCCCAATGGTAACTGTACTGAGATCATCAACTTCTTTTACATAGGTCACCAAACTAGCCAAATAAATGAAAAACAGATGAAAAATCTGAACTTTTAGAAATACCTGAGGCAATTGAATGACATGGGTGTGTATGGGGGGGGCGGGAAAGGAAGAGGAGGGTGTGTGGAAGAGGTGAAAACAAGTCAGTCTGTAAGTGTGGGGATGCATTGTCATGATTTGCATGGGGGGAGAAGGCTGTGAACCATCTCTTGAGTGTTGTGACACATGCATAGTACTTAGACTTAATTTCTTTGTTTTATTTGAAGTTGAACAACACAGAAAGATCCTTTGGTGGCTCAGTAGAGGAAAGGGGATTTCTAGGTAGAAGACATCAAGGTAGCACAGAAAGATTACACACACTCTAGTGCTCATGCAGAATAGCTGTTGCTAATGGTGACCATGCAACCAGTAATGATGGAAAGGCTATAAAGAATTAGAGGTATTAAGGATGTCAGGGAACTGTTTATATCAATAACTCTTGGAAATATGTGTTCAAGAGGACACATTCTCATCTTGTTTTGATGATTTGTTCCCAGTGGCAATGTCACCAGAGGCTCATTGAAGGTTGATATATGTGAGCAAGCAGACACTAACAGACTATGGCATGCAGTCCAGAACATGGAGAACACAGCAGAGAAGCTGAGGAAAGTACAGTCCAGGAAGATATGAAGGAGGCAATGAAACAACCACTTCAAAACTGAACAGAAATTAGGAAAAAAGATGTTGAAGTGAGAGGGATCTTCCCTTGTTCCCTTCCTGAAAGGGAAGAACAGTATTTTCTGCATAACATACATTTTAAAAGATCTGGAAATAGATCAGGTCATTTGCCTCACTTCTAATATCACCGTATTCCTCTGTAGTGCCCACCAATAGAGGATCTTAAAGCCCTTTGCAAACAAATCTGATTCGGTACAAACACCCCATGTGATAGGTCAGTATTATCATCCACATTTTATAGAATGGTGCAACTGAGACACAGAATGGTGACACTATTTATAAAAAGTCACACAAGTTTGTTGACACAGCTAGAAACAGAACACGGGAGTCTTGTCTTTCAGTCTCCTGCATTAGCCATTATACAGCGCACCTCAACAAATGGGCTAAATAATGTATTGAGCAGGTTTTATTGTAAAAACCACTTATCACTGACAACATTAAAATGTTGGTCACTTTGCAGTGCTTGCAGTACCATAATTTCTCCTATTC